TATGGTTAGATTGAATTTTACGAACGTTATTGTTTCTGCATTTCTTCTGATCTCGTTTCATGCCTTCCAACCACATACAAATATGAAAATGCGTGCATTAGAACATGGGATATGTTTATATGCATAACCTTTTTGTTTCTTTCATTTTTTAGTTTACGGAATCGTTAGAGTCCAACTGAAATTGCATCAGCTATCAACCAAAAGACGGAATCATGCTACAAAATCACATTGACCAAATCTTCTACGGGGAGATACAAAATGGGTTGCTAGGTGTGGGCAGTTAAAGAGTCTAAATGGTTTTTGGTTCTTTTGTTTCCGACCTTCATCGGGTCAAAAAGTACGATTTTAGTTAGCTGATATGAGATGGTTGAAGCGGCAAACGCCATTTGTATATCACTCAAACTGGTAAATGGTGACCAAAATGCGCGAGATACTCGACTGATTATCCAAATTTGAAAAAAATCATTGTGGTGAGTTGATTGTCGCTGCACCCACCGATTGTTTCCCTCCAGTGTCCTGTTGAAGGTCCCAAAGAAATAAGAAGACAAAACCTTTTTTTTTTTTTGACAAATCTTTTTCACAGCCGTCCTAAATACATTAGAGTCTTATATATACACAAGAACATAAATAAACTACCAATCTCCACAACTATAACACGTTACTTAGTGAAAAGACAATTCCATTAGTTTGGGAGAAACAATAAAGCCATCTCCTCCTAAACAGTAACATCAGTTTATGTCACTCATGCTCTGTCTTTTGAATTCATGCACTACTTGCTCAAAGTATACTATATATGTTTTCACTTTTGGATAAGGGAAAATGATGCTAGTTATATATATTAAGGAAAGGCCAATGAATATAACTTTTTGATTCACTTGGGTTTGAAACCAATTACTCAAAACGACCGTTACTAGTTTATTAGGCGTAACTTTAAAATCCCGTATTTACCCTCTCCACCTAAATCAGGAGTCGGTTGGAGGTCAAGGGTATAACCGGAAAGATCTTTAAACGACAAATAGGTACCCCACCATTGGGCAGGTCACAGGTCACAGTATCTTCCCCACACAAATAAAGGGAGATTGCGAAATTTAAATCGAAAAAAGCTCCCCAAGGGCATTTTCGTCATAATTTTGAATTTCTTTCTCTCCTCTTTTCACTGCCAGCTCTGCTTAAGCTTCTCCTACTTCTTCGTCCTTCTCCGTTCACAGTAGTCACGAAGAGAGAGAGAGATCGGAGAAGAAGAAGATAATGTCAGGCTTCGTCGGGATTCTTGTATCGGATCCATGGCTTCACAACCAATTCACCCAAGTCGAGCTCCGGAGTTTGAAATCTCAAGTAAGTACGGAATTGTTTCGATCTGATTCCGTTCTCGT